GAGGCGCCAGAGCTGCCCGAGTGACGCCTCGGGCACATCCACTGAAGGAGAAGGCCCTACCAGCGTCTGGACCGGAAGATCAGCTGCCGGAGGATCAGGAGCAACAGGCAGCAGGGACGGATACTGAGGCGTCACTGATCCCCCGCCCGCAGTCACAAACTCCACACCCGCCACAGGAGGAACCCATGGCAGCCGGAGGCGGTTCCCATGAGCAGCAGCTGACGGGGCGTGAGCACGAGGAGGAGGAGCGGCAGTCGAAGGAGGAGGAGGAGCGGGCGCATAGGGCGCAGGCGGAGGATGAGACACCGGCGCAGGAGCATGGCGCGGCGAACTGCTCAGGCTCGCCCGCTCGTTCCGCTCCTCGCGCATCGCGTCAGACACAACCCGCTGCAAGTCGGCCATTGTCACCGGCTGATCGTACACCCACCCGCCACCGTGACCACGCCCTCCCCACCAGCCCCCTCGGCCGCCACGTGGTGCAGCCCGGTTCGCCTGGGAACCACGGCGGCAGGGTGAATCATGACGCCGCCGTGACGTCTCTCGCTCGTCACGCGGTGCAGGGGATTGGGGCCGATGCTGCCGACGGCCCGGGGACGCATGACGTTGGGCAGGAGGACCAGGAGCAAGGGGTGCGGGAGCAGGACCCGCCTGTACGGTCGGAGGCGGCACTGTCGCCGCCGCAGGCGGAGAGGCAGGAGCATCCGAAGGTGACGCGCGAGCTGACTGAACCTCCGCCGAGCTCAGGCCGGCGCTGGTGGCTGGAGGTGGCTGGTACGTCGGGTCCGCACCAGAAGCAGCAGAAGGCGCCACGGCAGGCGCGACCAGTGGCGGCGAGGAGGCGCCTCCAACAGCAGCAGACGCCGCCGCAACCCCAAGCACGGGCGCCGACGCCCCCACGGGGGCATGTGGAACCACCGGCGCAGGCGCAGGAGAACGCACAGGACCAGACGCTGCAACAGGCCCAGGGATAAGGGCAGGATCAGACGCCGGGGCGAGCGCGGGAGCAGGGGACGAGCCCGGCGCATGACAAGGCGCCACACCAGGCGCCGACAACGATGCCACGGCGGGAGCAGGCAGGGCAGCAGGCGCGAGGACGAGCCCAGCCTGAGTCACGGATGACGGTGCGGGAAGAGGAGACATCTCCACAGGCGTAGGTGCCGGGGACGATAAGGCAGGAGGGGCAACTGCAGCCGACGCCAAGGCAAAGGGCCGCGGCGAGTACGAGTAATACTCGTCGCCAATCGACACGGCCATCGCGGGGCGGACGAGGTGGCGGACGAGGAGGAGCGACAGGAAGGGGAGGAGGACCGGAGAATGGCTTCCAGAGGGAAGCGCGCCGCGCCTTAACTTGAAGAGCGGAGGCTGATGAAGCTGAGGAGGAGGGAAGAGACCCTACCTTTATAGCTGAGATGGTGGAAGAATCCGCCACGGAAGAATCGGGAGAGTTAGAGGAGGAGGAACGGGACGGCAGACACCGGGGAAACGCAGCACCATGCCGAACCGCCCCAATCCCAGCTGCAGCAGGTCGCGTATCAAACCAGCCAGGACCGGACACCACCGCATCAGAGACCCGCCAATTCTCGCCTGAACAATTGGCCAAGGACTTGGAGCGGTTCGGCGAAGTGGAAAACTGGGACCTGACCCCCCTACGCGACAGTCGTCAGCCCCCACTGTCGCGTAAACTCCCCGCTGACATTCGCCCACTTTTCGCAACTGCCCTCCTGACACCACTCCTCCACCTCGCGCGGAACCCTGTGTCAGTCGCAGGCTGGCGCCTGTTACTTTTTATCCCGCGTCTCATCCTTCGCCTCCCGTCAACTGAGAAACCCGATTGGCCGGCAGTCAAGCAACGACTTCGCCAATTCAACAAGGGCGAATGGCAGCAGCTGTACGACGCGGCGGTTACCGCAATTACTGGACCCCACCCGCCTCGCCATACGCCAGATGCCATAGGCAAACGAGCGAGGGCAGAGGGCCTTGCGCGAAAAGGCAGCCTTCGCAGGGCGATCCTTGCCCTGGAGTCAACGCCGGTCGCCGACCCATCTGCAACTATCCTCGCCGCTCTCAAAGCAAAACACCCCCCCGCGCCACCTGGAACCATCGATTGGAGCATCCCCGACTCTGTACAAGCTGCTTCGACAGAAAAGGGGGATTTCATAAAACTGTTGTGTCGCTGTGAGAACGGGGTGGGGGGAGGACCATCGGGTATGACATTTGAACACCTCCGCGACGCATCACTCGCCAACGCGGGGGTTACCACACACCTCCACGCCCTCGTCAACACCATCCTGCAAGGCAAGTTGCCTGAGGAGATTTGCTCGCTACTGACTGCTAGCCGCCTCATAGCTCTAGCAAAGCCAGACGGAGGCCCCATCGCGGTAGGCGAATGTCTCCTACGGCTAGCAGCTAAGTCCGCCCTCTCAGTCCTCTCTCACGAATGCCGCGCGCACTTCCTCCCGCTACAATACTGCGTGGCCGTCCAAGGCGGCAGTGAGGCAATAATCCACGCCGCGAGAGCTTTCACTAGCGCAAACCCAGACGCGCTTATCCTGCAGGCGGATCTGGCAAATGCTTTTAACTCCATTAGCCGCGAAGCGATAGTCGGCGCACTTCGCGACACAGCCCTCCAGGGCCTCCTTCCCCTCGTCAAACTATCCTATAGCCGTCCAGCCCAGTTGTTCCTTGACGCGGGATTCGGTTGCGAGGCACTGGCTAGCGAGATGGGTGTGCGGCAAGGTGACCCGCTAGGCCCACTACTGTTTGCCGCGGGAATCCACCCTATTCTTTCCAGGACAGCAGCAGCTTACCCATCAGTCCTGTGCCTCGCGTTCGCCGACGACGTCACATTCCTGGGCCCTGCTGCGGATTGTTCTGACGCCTTCCGTCACTTCACGGCGGGATTGCGCGATGTAGGACTGACCCACAACCCTGAGAAGTGCGCCGCATGGAGTGCAGCAGCCACAGATCCCCAGCAGCTGCCCGAGGGTGTCCCGCTGCACGCGGAGGGATTGCGGGTGCTTGGGAGCTTCATAGGCTCAACAGACGGTGCAGCGGCCTTTCTGCGGTCACAGCTCGAGGCAATGTCGTCCCCACTGCCCCACATAGCCACCATGGACCCACAAATAGCGGCGCTTCTACTGACGCGGTGTATCTCCAGGCGCATCTCGTACTTAGCACGCACCACACCTCTTTACCTGCTACCCGAAGCAGAGTGGTCAAGGTGAGGCCGGGCATTGCTGTACACACTTCACGATGCTTGCGGGGTGCGCCACCCGAGGGGCGAGGCAGAGGATGGACGGATCTGGGATCAAGCCTCACTCCCCCCAAGCCTAGGCGGCCTGGGGCTTGCCGACCCTACAGTGGAGGGCCGATACAGCTTTCTGGCGAGTCTCGTGCAGGCACACTCACTCCTCGGCCAGCTGGGGGGACAGGCAGGGGCCACACTGACGGCAGCACTGGACTCCCCCGCCGCAGCTGATCACAGCCCCACTGAACTGCAGCGGTGGATCAAGGACTGCAGGGACAGCCTCTCGCAGGAGGCGAGGGATCTTATCTCGGCGGAGCAGACAAAACCCAAGGGCCAGCTGCAACACCGCTTGGCACTCCTAGTTCAAGGGAGCCGGAGTGCCGCCCAGATCACAGCATCCAGGCAGATGGAGCTGAACCCCCGGCTGGGCCACACCCAGCGCCTCATGTCCCTCACGGGCTATGGGGCGGGGGACTGGCTCATGGCAATCCCTTACATGCCTTCACTGCGCCTGTACCCCTGCCACTTCACGTTCGCCCTCCAGTTCAGGCTAGGCATGCCACTCTCTGTACCAAACTGCTATGATTGCAACAAACGAGTCCCCATCCTGGACAAGAGGTTGCCGAACCACTTGCTTCGGTGCGGCACTGGGCACGGCCGGACCAACACCCACGACGAGCTGCGGGATGAATGCATCCGCATAACGCAGGACGCGGGGTTTGCCGTGCACAAGGAGTGCACTGCCTTCAGCCCGGTGGATAACAAGAAGGCCGACCTGGCCTTTCGGGATGGGAGCTCGGGAGCGGTGTGGCTGGCTGATGTCACGATAACAGACCCCATCAGCAAGCGGGACGAGACTGCAAGGAAGGGGAGGGGCTGGGCAGCACGGGAGGCAGCAGACAAAAAGATTGACCTCTACCACGGCAGGTCAGAGTTTGCGGGGTTTTTCCCATTGGCGGTTGAGACCTACGGCTGCCCCTGCGACGAGGTACCCACCTTCCTGAAGTTGCTGCGGACAAAGCTGCGCGGAGAATCTTCAACGCGGACCCATCAACCTACCAGGCCGCAAAGATGCTCCACCAATTCCGCCAACGCTGGTCCATTGCCCTCCAAAGAGCCCAAGCAGTGAGCTTCCTCACAAAGCTGAATCTGGCAGCCCGAGCAGAGAAACCCCCATTGGGGGGACCAGAGGGGGAGATGAACCCTGGGGACTGCTTCACAACCCTAGAGGCACCTTAGACATAGGGGGGGGGGGGGGGGGGGGGGGGTGGGGGGGTGGGTAGGGGTGTGTGGCTGCATGCTTGCGTGTGTGGTTGCTCCATAGGTTTTGTAGGCTGGTCCTTATGCTAGCTGCTGCATGTCTGTACCAGCCCCTGTTATCAATGCAAAGGACCGTTTGAGAGAGAGAGAGAGAGAGAGAGAGAGAGAGAGAGAGAGAGAGAGAGAGAGAGAGAGAGAGGCCCTAGGAGCTAGTCCTTAGCCTCTCCAGCCCTCTCCAGCCTAGTATAAAGGCCTTAGGACCTGGCCCTTGAGCCTCATTATTCAGTTCAGCGTTCATCTGCTCTCCTAACCGAGTGGCTCGCGCCGGCCGCCTTCGGCGGCCGACGCTCGACAGCGCGGCCTTCGGCCGCGCGTGAGGGGACGGCAAGCAAAACGACAAACAGTTGCTCATACTAGGGGACATTACACGCATGGCAAGTCCTACGGCAAACTAGCAGGAAGCACGAAATCATGGGGCAGTCGGAGCCCGCATCTACATGCGGTGAGCTCCAAGGGCGTGAAGAATGCCCGTCAGGGAGCGCCACAGCTCCCGTACCACGAGCGTACTTGCGCCGATCGCCGCGGCTCCAGATCCTGCGCGCAAGTGCCTCCTCAAGCCCCGGACGGCGTCAAGCTGTCCCGCAGCAGCAGCGCCACCCTCCGCGGGCGCAGCCAACACGGGCGCCAGCAGCACCGCGAGCTGGTCCGCCGCGTCCAGGCAAGGGTCACGTTGGCGAGCACGGAAGGTCTCAGGAGGGATCACAGGGAGAGACGAGTGGGCCAGCACCTGAATCAGCAGCAGAGCATGGAGACTGTCAGCGAGGCGGTGTAGCTGTCCGAGAGTTGCCTAGGGAACACGGGTCTGCGGCGGCTGTAGAGCCTCCGCCAGAAACTGGAGCGGCTCTACAGCATCAGCTGGGAGAGCGAACGGAGCCGCCAACGAGCCGCCTCCCGCGGCCACAAACTCCACTCCCGCAACGGGCGGAACCGGCGGCAGATGGAGACGAGAACCGGGAGCAGGTGCCGATACAGCGGGAGAAGGAGCTGGTGGTGCCTGGATGTGAGGGGGAGGCGCAGCAACAGGCGGCGAGTTCGGGGGGAGCGCAGCCGGACGGGGAGCCTCGTGGGTTGGCAAGGCGCGCAGCGAACGGCTCTGGCTCTGCGCCGCCCTCTCCTCGCGAACCGCCCTCGACACTTCCCGCTGAAGATCCGCCATCGTCACAGGCGGGCGAAACCCCCCACCTCCGCCACGTGCACGGCGACCCCTCCAATCCCCCTGACCACCGGTGTGAGCAGGCCACTGCGACTGCTGCTGGTACCGCCGGGGAGATTCACGCCGGCGACGAGAGGACCTGCGGTCCTGTTGGGGAGCGGGGGAATGGGGGCGTGACGAACGACGGTCAGGCGACAGAGGGCGTGACGGTTGGCCTGCAAGGGCCACCGCCGTCACAGCAGGGGCGGACTGGCCCGCCGCCGCAGGCGCAACCGACGGAGCCGGCTCGCCAGTGGTGGCGGACGCCGCCTTTGGCGACGAAGCAGAGGCCGGAGCAGGCGGGTAAGGGACTGAAGCGGTCGGCGCAACAAGGGCGCCAGGGACAGGTGCAGGGGGCTCAGCAACACCCCCAGCAGGGGCAGACGTCGACGGCTCGACAAGGGGATCCAGGGGGCCAGGTGCCACAGGCGGAGCAGACGGAACAGCAGCGGGAGCGAACGGGCCTGCCTCTGACCCGGCGAGGGGATCCGCGGGTGCGGGGGGAGGAGTCTTTTCAGAGACTGCTGTCACGGGCTTCAGAGCCGGCGGTAGAGGGGGCTTCGTCGCCATGGTCGCCCTTTCAGGCACCGCCAGAGGCTTGGCGGCCGCAGCCGACCAGGCGGCAACGAGCTCTGGCGACGGCTCAGGTGCTCCGGCAATCACCATCCCTAGAGCACGGAAGCCGCGTGGCGAGGAGAGAAACCGTAAGCGGAACAGGGGGAGGGCCAGAGAATGGGTATCAGGCGGCGGCGAGAAGGGCTTTAAACAATGGGGAAGACACTATTAGTAATAATGAAGACGAGCGGTACGACCCGTCTTATAGGGAAGAAACCCTTCCCGAGAGCGAGGAAGAGGAGACGGAAGGAGAAGGCATGGCGAGAGAAGGACCAAGGAGACGGGAAGAGGTGGTGCAGCAGGCGGAATTGCAAGTACCACAGATGACTCAGCCACCATCCGATGCTGATCGGACGGGTGCAAACCCAACCTCAACCCCACCAATGAGATCGAGGCGCGCCGGGAGAAATCGAACCGCCAATGCCGGGGCTGCGGTGCGCCCACCAGCACCAATTCCCCGCTACTTTTCACCAGACGAGCTAGCGAAGCGGACAGACCTGTTCGCAGCCATCGCGAACTGGGACATTCCAGCCCTTTGCGACAGTCGTCAGCCTCCACTGTCGCGGCGTTTACCGCCAAACCTGTGTCAGCTTTTTTCGCTCGCGCTACTGACACCGTTACACCACCTATCACGAAACCCGGATTCAGAAATGGGATGGCGCCTGCTGCTGTTTCTCCCGCGCCTGACGCTTCGCCAGACCTCGCCACAACGCCCGAACTGGCCAAGTGTCAAGAGCCGGCTCCGAGCTTTCCAGCGTGGAGAATGGGATCAGCTGTACCAAGACGCGGTGAACGCAGTCAACACACCGCCCCCGCCACGACACCAGCCAGATGCGACAGGTGTCATCAGCCGCGCAGAGAGCCTGGCGAAACGTGGCAGTCTGCGCCGAGCCGTGCTGGCCCTCGAGTCAACGCCCGTCTGCACACCCAGCCCGGAAATATTGGAGGAGCTTCGCAAAAAGCACCCACCCGCTGGAGACGAGGTGGTGACGTGGCCCGAGACACAAGGGTCAAAGCTGTCAATCCCCCACCCTGATTTCGCCAAGTTGCTGGGGAGATGCGAGAATGGGGTCGGGGCCGGTCCATCAGGGATGACATTCGAGCACCTGCGTGACGCGGCGATCACCAATGGAATGGTCAGCACCCATCTGCACGCCTTGGTCAACACTTTGCTGGGAGGACAATTGCCAGGTTCGGTAGCAAACCTGCTCACGGCGTCGCGTCTCATCGCCCTTGCCAAGCCGGGGGGAGGGGCTAGGCCAATCGCAATCGGCGAGTGCCTAACGAGGCTGGCAGCCAAGGCTGCCCTGTTAATCATGGGAGAACCGGCCCGGGAATTTTTCCTACCACTACAGTACGGGGTGGCGGTACCAGGTGGAGCAGAGGCAGTAATCCACGCAGCCAGGGCTTTTTCGGATGCCCGGCCGGACAGCCTGGTACTGCAAGCCGACATTTCAAATGCGTTCAACAGCATTTCGCGAACCGCCATCGCCGACGCGTTACACGAGCCCACCCTCTCGCCGCTGCTGCCGCTCGTGAAACTGACATACAGTAACCCGTCGCAGCTGCTACTGGACTCCAACTTCAACAGCGCACCACTAGCAAGTGAACGCGGCGTGCGCCAGGGAGACCCACTTGGGCCGTTGCTATTTGCAGCAGGGATACACGCCACACTCCGAGAAACTGCCGAATCACACCCTGACGTGCTGTGCTTGGCATATGCGGACGATGTCACCTTCCTGGGTGACACAGCCCGCACTGTAGCTGCATTCTCATACTTCACAGCAAAGTTGGCGCACCTGGGCCTCACACATAACCCACAGAAATGTAGTGCCTGGAGCCCAGGCGCAATCGACACAGCTTGCCTCCCGCCAGGAGTGCCGTTCTCTAAAAACGGCGTGAAGCTACTGGGTAGCTTCGTGGGGCCGGAAAGCGGCGCAGCTCAGTTCCTGACAGGCCAACTCGCTGAAATGTCAAAACCCCTACCCCTGCTTGAGCGAACAGACCCCCAGGTAGCAGCCCTTCTAATTACGCGATGCATCTCGCGACGAGTTGCATACCTCACCAAGACGACACCACTCCACCTCCTCCCCCGTGATACATGGAGTGAGTGGGGCCGGGATTTGCTCGCCACGCTCCTCACATCGTGCGACATTCGCGTTCTGACGTGTCGAAGCGAACAATCGCGAGTTTGGGAGCAAGCGTCGCTACCGCCATCCTTAGGAGGACTGGGCATCACAGACCCCCTAGTCGAAGGGATCTACGGCTTCGCAGCTAGCTTCACGCAGGCGGCGCTGTATCTCGGCTGTCTACCGCTGGAAGAAGATAACGCTCTCACCCTAGCACGGAACCATATGCTACTGCCGCGGGCTGACAGCACGCCGCTACACACATGGCTGGCCGAGTGTGAGGAGGCAATGCCCCTCGATGCGCGGGAGGTACTGGAGAAGGAGCGGCTTGAGCGTTCTGACATCCGGCTCCAGCACGTGCTAGGACTCAAAGTCCACGGTAGCAGATACGCAAAGCAGGTTCAGGCGACGAGGCGCATGAAACCAAATCCGCTCTCTGGTCACACGCAGCGGATGTTCTCTATGAGTGGCTACGGCACAGGCGACTGGCTCACCGCGATCCCCATCGCTGCCGCAAGACGGATAGGGCCAGTGCACTTCGCCAACGCGGTACGCTTCCGCCTCGGCCTACCGTTTTCCACACCCAAGAACTGTGACTGCGCGGACCACACGCCTATCACCGACCCCCGCCTCCCGAACCACCTGCTCCGCTGCGGCACAGGCAAGCGCCGAACGAACACGCACAATGAGCTGAGGGACGCCTGCGTTAGCATGGCGCAAGACGCGGGGTTTATCGTACATAGGGAGTCAGCGGCCTACTGCCCTATTGAGGAGCAAACCGCCGACTTCACCATGACGGATAGGAGCAGTGGGGCGGTTTACATCTGCGATGTTACCATCACTGACCCCATCAGCACTAGGGACCCGGAAGCACAGAAGGGCAGGGGATGGGCGGCACGGGAACAGGCCGACAAGAAAATCAAGCATTACGCCAACCGCCCAGAGACGGTTGGCTTCTTTCCCCTAGCAGTTGACACCTACGGCTGTCCTTGCGCCGAGGTGCCTGTCTTCCTCAAGCTCCTGGCAGACACAGCGGCTCGGCGCCACTTCAACGCCGACTCAAAATCCTACTATGCCGCCAAGTTTCTGCACCAATTCCGGCAACGGTGGTCGGTGGCCCTGCAGAGAGCACAGTCCGTGGGGCTCCTCCTTAAGTTGGGCGAGGCAGCAGCAGCAGAGAACCCCCCTGTGGGAGGCATAGGGCAGGAGCTGCACCTTGGGGATTGCTTCGCGGTAGCAGAGCCCTTTCTGGAGCTCTAGAGAGGGCGGTGGTGTGATAGGTGTGTGACTGGTTGGTTTTGTTTGTCTGATTGATTAGCTAGACCTTGCCATCCATATCTTGCATGTCTGTACCTTTCAAACATTATCAATATACGGACCATTAGAGAGAGAGAGAGAGAGAGAGAGAGAGAGAGAGAGAGAGAGAGAGAGAGAGAGAGAGAGAGAGAGAGAGGCGGAACGGGCGGGAGACGAAGCCGAGACCCAGGAACAGGAGCGGAGGCAGAAACAGCGGGAGCCGACGGGGCCGGAATCTGATGAGGGACGGGTGCAGCAAGCGGCGGATCTTCAGGAAGTACAGCCTGTCGAGGAGCAGCACGTGCCACGACAGCGTGAGAGCCGCCCTGGGTCAGGGCGGCCCTCTCCTCGCGCACCGCAGTTGACACCGCCCGCTGCAGATCCGCCATCCTCACGGGAGGATCGTACGCCCCACCACCTCCGCGACCGCGGGGACCCCACCAGCCACCGCGGCCGCCGTGGTTCGCGTGCCACTGGGCCTGCTGATCCGGGCGACGGGGAGAATTGCGCCGGCGCCGTGAGGACTGACGATCCTGCTGGGGAGCGGGAGAATGAGGGCGAGATGGGCGGCGGCCAGGAGACGGCGGGCGAGACAGCTGCGCCACAGGAGCAGTCGGTGGCACAACAGGTGCAGCCGGACCCCCAACCGGCGGCGCACCAAACGAGGCCGGGCCGCCAGTGCTGGCGGACGCCGCCTGCGGGGACGAGGCAGAGGCAGGAGTCGGCAACTCAGGCGCCGCAACAAGTCCCGCAGGCAAGGGAGCCGAGAGGTCGGCGACAGACTCCGGCGGTGCGGCAGGGGACGCCTGGGGTTCAGCCGACACAGTCGGGGCAGATGGCACAGCAGCAGCAGTTGCAGGAGTCTGAGCGACAACAGTCGCAGTTGAACCAGGCGCATCCGCAACAAGGAGAGCCACGGGTCCGGGGTGAGGAATCTTTTCAGAGGATGCTGTCGAGGGCTTCGGAGCCGGAGGCAGAGGGGGCTTCGTCCCCGTGGTCGCCCTTTCGGGCTCAGACTGAGGCCTGGCGACCATTGCCGACCAGGAGGCAACGAGCTCTGGCGTCGGCTCAGGCGCACCGGAAATCACCATCGCGTGGACGAGGGGCCCAGGGAGAGAGGAGCCAGGCGGTTAGCGGAGCAGGAGGAGGACCGGAGAACGGGTATCAGGCGGCAGGGCGTTGGGCTTTAATAGCTCTAGTAGCAGCTAATGAAGTCGAGGAGAGAAATGACCCCTCTTATATCGTGGAAGTGCAGCCAGAGAGTGAAAACGAAGAAGGGGGTGGAGCTGAGATAACAAGGGTAGGAACGGGGAGGAGAGGACCAGGTGCAGCCAATTTGCCCACGGCAGAAACGGAGGGGCAAGCAGGGCCGTCGGCTGCTGATCGAATGGGTGGGAATCCAACTCGGCAGCAATCAGTGAGATCGGGCCGCGCCCGAAGAAATCCGACCGCATTATTCCACCATGCGTCAATCGCGACCCCGCAGCTGCCCCGCCATTTTTCGCCAGAGGAGTTGGCAGAGAGGAGTGACATGTTCGCTGACATCGCGAACTGAGATGTTTCCTCCCTCTGCGACAGTCGACAACCGCCACTGTCGAGACGATTACCGCCAAATTTGTGCCAGTTATTTTCGCTGGCACTCCTGACTCCACTACACCATGTCTCGCGAAACCCTGATTCCGAGGCCGGTTGGCGACTACTCCTTTTCCTCCCGCGATTGACCCTTCGCCAAGCTTTGCCAAATCAACCAAACTGGCCGCAAATCAAGGCCCGGCTTCGGGCTATCCAGCGTGGCGAGTGGACGCAGCTCTACCAGGACGCAGTAAACGCGGTCAACACCCCTCCACCCCCGCGTCACCAACCCGACGTGACAGGTGTACTGAGTTGAGCGGAGGGGTTGGCAAAACGTGGCAGTCTGCGCCGAGCCGTGCTGGCGCTCGAGTCAACACCCGTCTGCACACCAAGTCTAGAAATCCTGGACGAACTTCGCCAGAAACACCCACCAGCAGGGGCAGAGTCGCTGACTTGGCAAGCAACCGACACCCGTCCCCTGGGCATTTCCCACGCTGAATTTGCGAAGCTCCTTGGGCGATGCGATAATGGCGTGGGGGCCGGACCATCAGGCACAACATTTGAGCATCTTCGCAACGCGGCAGTAACCAACGCATCCGTCAGCATCCATTTGCACGCCCTGGTAAACACAATTCTGGGGGGAAACCTCCCAGCCTCGGTGGCAGACCTGCTCACAGCATCTCGACTCATAGCCCTGGCCAAGCCTGGAGGAGGTGCCCGACCAATCGCGATCGGCGAATGCCTGACGCGTCTGGTTGCCAAGGCTGCGCTGTTGGTCATGGGCGAAGCTGCACGTGAACACTTCCTACCCCTACAGTACGGCGTGGCGGTGCCAGGAGGGGCGGAAGCGATAATTCATGCCGCCCGAACGTACGTGGACGGCCACCCCAACAGCCTGGTACTGCAGACCGACATCGCGAATGCTTTTAACAGCATTTCGCGACAGTCCATCGCAGCCGCGTTACAAGAACCCACCCTGTCGCCGCTAGTACCACTGGTTCGCCTGACCTACGGTAACCCATCGCGGCTGCACCTGGATTCGAACTTTGCGAGTGAACCCCTGCGTAGTGAACGAGGCGTTCGCCAGGGCGATCCACTGGGCCCACTCCTTTTTGCGGCGGGAATTCACCCCACACTTCACGACACAGCAGCAGCACACCCTGAGGTGCTTTGTTTGGCATATGCGGACGACGTGACATTCGTGGGTGAACCACGTGCAACTGTAGCTGCCTTCAACCACTTCACCACGAGGTTGGAATTGCTGGGCTTGAAACACAACCCGCAGAAGTGTACCGCATGGAGCGCTGCCACGTGCGATTCAACAGAGCTGCCTCTAGGGGTGCCGACGCCGTCTGTTGGGAAGTTTTATAGGGGCGGCCGACGGGGCAGCCACGTTCTTGGCGGGGCAGCTGAGGGATCTGGCGAAACCATTGCCACTCATCGAGCAGGCCGACCCACAGGTCGCCTCGCTGCTGATCACGCGTTGCATTTCTCGGCGCGTGGCGTATCTCACTCGAACAACCCCCCTCAATCTCGTCTCCCGGGATACATGGACCGAGTGGGGCCGTGACCTCCTCATGGCACTACTTACCTCGTGCAACATTCGCGCTCCGGCGGGCAGAGCAGAACAGTCACGCGTATGGGCTCAGGCGTCCCTGCCTCCCTCTCTTGGTGGAGTAGGCATTACAGACCCTCTCGTCGAGGGAGTCTACGGTTTTGTCGCAAGCTTCACACAGGCGGCGCTGCTCTTCTCCGTGCTCGCGCTAGCCCGGGACTCCGCACTGTCTCACGCGCGCGGCCATATGCTCCTGCCTAGAGACGAGAGCACGCCGCTACAATCCTGGCTCGCAGAATGCGAAACCGCCCTGCCTTCTGACGCGCGTGAGCTGCTGGATCGGGAACGTATTAAACGGACGGACGTCAAGCTGCAGCACGCCCTCGCCCTATAGGTCCACGGTAGCCGTTACGCTGTGCAAGTACAGGCGACGAGGGACATGGAGCTGAATCCGCTTGCGGGCTACACAGAGCGGATGTTTCTCTAACGGGCTATGGCACGGGGGACTGGCTGACGGCGATACCTATAGAAGCGACGAGGCGCATTGGACCGGCACACTTTGCCAATGCCGTCAGATTCAGGCTTGGTCTGCCCTTCACCACCCCCAAAAACTGTGACTGCTCGGACCACACCGCAATCACGGACCCCCGCCTCCCAAACCACCTCCTTCGCTGCGGCACCGGCAAGCATCGCATCAACACCCATAACGAGCTCCGGGATGCTTGCATTAGTATGGCGCAGGACGCGGGTTTCATAGTCCACAGTGAGTCGGCCGCCCATTGTCCCATCGAGGAGCAGACGGCCAATTTCACCATGACCGACAGGAGCAGCGGGGTGGTTTGGGTGTGTGATGTAACTGTGATAGACCCCATCAGCACTCGGGACCCAGAGGCGCAGAAAGGCAGAGGATGGGCGGCCAGAGAGCAGGCAGACAAAAAGATTCAACACTATGCGAACAGACCTGAGACAGTCGGCTTCTTTCCACTGGCGGTGGAGACTTATGGTTGCCCGTGTGCAGAGGTCCCCGTCTTCCTGAAACTCCTAGCAGACACGGCGGCTCGGCGCCACTTCAACGCCGATTCTAACTCCTATCATGCCGCCAAGTTTCTGCATCAGTTCAGGCAGCGGTGGTCGGTGGCTCTTCAGAGAGCACAGTTGGTGGACCTACTCATGAAATTGGGTGAGGCGGCAGCAGCTGAGCACAGTTGGTGGACCTACTCTCTCTCTCTCTCTCTCTCTCTCTCTCTCTCTCTCTCTCTCTCTCTCTCTCTCTCTCTCTCTCTCTCTCTCGCTCTCTCTCCCGCTCGGTTGGGAGAAAGAAACCAACCACAAACTGAATAATGAGAAGCTAGGCAGGCAACAAGGCCTTAAGTACTAGGGAGGAAGGAGAAGGAGAGGATAAGGACTAGGACTATGTTTCTCTCTCTCTCTCTCTCGCTCTCTCTCCCGCTCGGTTGGGAGAAAGAAACCAACCACCTACACCTGCCTAGGACAACACACGGCAACAACATGGCGCAGGAAGAGGCGGACGCTACATTTGATCCGCATCAAGGACGGCAAGAAGACCTGTCAGAGAGCGATGAAGCTCGCGCACCACCACTGTGGTTGCGCCGATCAAGTCGACTGCAGTCCCTGCGCACAAAAACCGGCGTAGACCATGGACTGCCGTCCCAAGCTGTCCAACGCCCGCAACTCCACCCCGCGTGGGCGCAGCCAACACGGGCGCCAGGAGCTCGCCCAGCCGATCTGCGGCATCTAGGCACTCGTCCCGATGGCCGCTCTCCAGAGGAACACCCTGGGCGAGAGCCGCGTGACCATACACCTGAATCAGGTGAACAGCCTTCAGGCCCTCAGAGAGGCGCCACAGCTGCCCCAAAGACGCCTCGGGCACCACAGCGGTAGGAGAGGGCCCCACCAGCGACTGCTGAGGCAGCACAGCAGCCGGCGGAGCAGGAGCAACGGGCAGCAGAGATGGATACTGACCCGTCACGGGTCCCCCTTCTGCGGTCACAAACTCCATACCCGCCACAGGAGGAACCCACGGCAGGCACATGCGGTTCCCAAGAGCAGCAGCAGATGCAAAGGGAGCATGGGGAGGAGGAACGGCCGATTGGGGAAAGGGAGGCGCCGGCGCATAGGGCGCAGCCGGAGGAAGGGACGCATGCGTTGGAGCAACGCGAGGCGAATTGCTCTGGCTCGCCTGCCCGTTCCGCTCCTCGCGCACAGCAGCAGAAACAGCTCGCTGCAGATTGGCCATCGACACCGGCCGATCGTACCCCCAGTCACCACCACGACCGCGCCCTCCCCACCAGCCACCGCGACCACCGCGGGACGCAGCCCAGTTCGCTTGGGAACCACGGTGCCGAGGAGAGTCGTGTCGCCGCCGCGACCTCTCCCGCTCGTCACGAGGTGCAAGGGAGTGTGGCCGATGCTGCCGGCTACATGGAGACGGCGGGCGCGGAGCAGGCGGGGCAGCAGCAAGCGGCGCAGGACCACGAACCGCCTGGACAGCCGGGGTCTGCACGAGCGGCGGCACAGTCGGAGGGGCGGGAGCAACAGAGACCGCTACCTGGCCCGGGCCGTCAGTGGTGGCGGACACCACCGGTTGCGACGCCACGGCGCCAGCAGGGGCAGCGGCGACAATCGGCTCGTCAAGAACGGGGGCATCAGGTGGAGCAGGATCAGCAGCGGCAGTCGGTGCCGCAGGGTTCATAGGGATAGGCGGCGCAACAGTAGGAGCAGAGAGTGCAGGAGGGTCAGGAACAGCCTGCGCCGCCTCACTCGACACGAGGTCCGGAGTCGGACTCACAGAGAGAACGGCGACAGAGAGCGCTGGCTTCGGGGCTGGCTTCGGCTTCATTGCAGCACCCCCCGAGGCAGACACCGGCGGCGACTTTCCGCTCGCCGTTGACGCAGAGGCAGCGGGCTTTGGCAATGGCCATGAATCGCCAGCAATCACCATCGCGAGGAGGGAGGAGACAAGGAGCAGGATGTCGGGAAGGGCGGAGAATTGAAGGTGGACCGGAGAATGCGTTCCAGGCGGCGTCACGAAGGGCTTTGACAAGGTTAGACGAGAATGATGATCCGGAGGAGCGAAACGACCCCTCTTATAGGGAGGAGGCACAAGCCCCGAGCAGCAGCAGTGAGGAGGAAAACGAGGAGGAGAGAGAGCACTTGACGAGAGGAAGCCAAGGAAGCTAGAGAGGAACGACAGTACAGTCAGGAAACTCACGGGGGCCACATGATGCCGATCGAACGACCACGATTCCAACCCCGCTTATTACTCGTGCTACGGGTCGCGGACGTGGAAATCGGGTCGCGAGGGGTCAGGCGAGGGCGACTTGCTAGCCTCAAAACCCCCGCTATTTTTCGCCAGAGGAACTGGCGAGGCAGGCTGACAAATTCATCGAAGTGGCAGAATGGGACATCACACCTCTCTGCGATAGTCGCCAACCCACGCTGTTACGACTGCTACCACCAAATCTGTGCGAGATATTTTCGCTCGTGGTCCTGACACCGCTTCTGCACCTCTCGCGAACCCCTGACTCCATCGCGGGATGGAAGTTACTCCTATTTCTCCCTCGCCTCACACTGCGACAAGCTTCGCCAAGGCGCCCAGATTGGCCCAAAATCAAAGCCCGTCTCCAAGGATTTCAACGCGGCGAGTGGCAACAGCTGTACATGGACGCGGTGGAAGCAGTCAACACACCACCTCCGCCAAGTCACCAGCTTGACGACGTGGGAACCATCAATAGAGCGGAGAGCCTGGCGAAGAAAGGGAGCCTGCGCCGAGCCGTGATGGCGCTCGAGTCAACGCCGGTCTGCACGCCCAGTCCAGAAATCGTGGACGAACTCCGACGCAAGCACCCACCGGCGGATCCTGACCCCTTGGTCTGGCCAGTCAACGCCGACCTACCAGACCTCGAGATCGCAAACGCGGAATTTTCGAAATTGCTCAGCCGGTGCGAGAATGGAGTGGGGGCCGGCCCGAGTGGAATGACTTTTGAACACCTACGCGACGCGTCAGTAACAAATGCATCCATCTCCACCCATCTACATGCCTTGGTGAATACGATTCTGCAAGGAAAACTGCCGCAACCAGTCGCGGTTTTACTCACATCCTCCCGCCTGATTGCCCTCGCCAAACCTGAAGGAGGGGCTCGCCCAATCGCAGTCGGCGAATGTCTGACCCGCCTGGCGGCAAAGGCTGCACTGTCAACTCTCGACGAGGCGCCGCGCGGCTATTTTCTTCCGCTGCAGTACGGTGTCGCTGTGCCAGGGGGAGCGGAGGCAATCATTCACAGCGCACGTGCATATACTGACAATCACCCCAACTGCCTCATTCTGCAAACTGACATCTCCAACGCCTTCAATAGCATTTCACGACAAGCCATAGTGACAGCATTACAGGACCCGGCCCTATCACCACTACTGCCGTTAGTGAAACTGACTTACGGCGACCCATCCTTACTGTACCTGGACGCGAACTTCAACAGCTCGCCTATACTCAGCGAGCGTGGGGTCCGGCACGGCGATCCCTTAGGACCTCTTCTTTTTGCGGCTGGGATCCACCCTGCATTAAGAACAACAGCAACACTACACCCCGGCATGCTGTGCCTGGCATACGCCGACGACGTGAGCTTTTTGGGCGAACCATAGGATGCTGTCGCAACTTTCTCCCATTTTACCAGTGAGCTGGCTCAAGTGGGTTTGCGACAAAACCCTGAGAAATGTGCCGCATGGAGCAGACAGCCGCTAGATAGTTCAATAGGACTGCCGCCGGGAGTCCCTACTAGTGACGCGGGCGTTAAACTTCTAGGCAGTTTCCTAGGCACACCTGAAGGCGCTGCCACCTTCCTAGCAGCCCAGCTACAAGACATGACAAGGCCGCTACCTTTGATCGAGCGCCTAGACCCGCAGATAGCTTCCCTCCTCCTCACACGCTGCATCTCCCGCCGTGTAGGATACCTCATACGAACGACCCCGCTACATCTCCTGAACCACGACACCTGGTCTCAGTGGGGTAGGGACCTCCCAGCCACACTCCTCACAGCATGTGGCATTCGCTTCCTGACGGATAGCACAGAACAGAGTCGGGTTTGGGAACAGTCTTCACTCCCACCGTCACTAGGCGGTATTGGACTGACGGACCCCACGGTGGAAGGCCGTTTCGGCTACCTGGCTAGTTTTACACAGTCTAGCCTCTTACTAAGCTCATTACCGCTAGAAAAAGAGGAGGCCCTGATGGCGGCCAGAGACCACATGCTCCTACCTCGAGATACCACAACCGCCTTACACCAGTGGCTAGGGGAGTGCGAGACATCGCTGCCACAAGAAGCTAGAGACATACTCGACATGGAGAGGCTGTAGCACGAGCTTGGGGTGAGGGTGCAGGGGAGTAGATATGCCACGCAAGTACGGGCTACACGACACATGAGTCTCAACCCACTGTCAGGCCACACCCAACGGTTTTTCTCCCTGACAGGCTACGGCACGGGGGACTGGCTAACCACTATCCCAATAGAACCAACCCGCCGTGTAGGCCCTCCTCACTTCGCAAACGCAGTTTGCTTCAGGCTAGGCCTCCCCTTCTCTACGCCCGCGGAGTGTGACTGCTCTAAGCACGTAGCAATCACTGACCCACGGCTGCCGAATCACCTTTTCCGCTGCGGGACAGGCAAGCACATGATTAATACTCACAATGAACTCCGTGATGCTTGCATCTCGATGGCAGAGGACGCCGGCTTCATAGTCCACGGAGAATCCGCAGCCTACTGCCCAGATGAAGAGCAAACTGCAGACCTGACGCTGCGTGATAGGAGCTCGGGCGCAGTGTACATTTGTGGTGTCACCATCGCGGACCCGATCAGCACCAGGGACCCACTCGCCATAAAGGGGAGGGGATGGGCGGTGAGGGAGCAGGCCGGCAAGAAAATCAGCCATTACGCCAGCCGCCCTGACACCGTTACCTTCTTCCCCTTGGCAGTTGAGACATACGGGTGCCCGTGTGCCCAGGTCCCACAGTTCTTGAAGCTCTTGGCGGAAACAGCTGCTAGGCGACACTTCAACGCCCAACCACACTCATTCCATGCAGCCCGGTTCCTTCATCTCTTCAGGCAACGATGGTCCTGTGCTCTGCAAAGAGCGCAGTCAGTGGGTTACCTTATTAAGTCCAGTCAGGCGGCAGTAGCAGAAAATCCCCTTGTGGGGGGGGGTGCAGGGAGAGTTCCACCTTGGGGATAGCTGTGCAGTACTGGAGCCTCTCATGGAGGTGTAGATAGGCAACTATGGGATAGATAGTTGTTTGGCTCTTTGTTTCTTTGTTTGCTTGTTCCCATCTCTAGCATCTATACCCTGCATATTTGTATCCCTTGATATATCAATACATGGACCATTAGAGAGAGAGAGAGAGAGAGAGAGAGAGAGAGAGAGAGAGAGAGAGAGAGAGAGAGAGAGAGAGAGGGAGAGAGGAGGTGGGGGGAGCCAAGTGCGGCTAGCCCCTCTTACGAACCCCCAAGTCCACACCCCTTTTCAGCCACCCCCCTAAACCTCACCCCCCTTGTTCAGCCGCCACCCAGAACCGCACCCCTTCCGCCACCCCCTCACCCTCCCCCCACAGCAGCACGTGCGGCAGTGGGAGAGAGAGGCAGTGGACGGCATAGGGCAGTGGCTCTCCTTCTTCCGCCCGCTGCCAGCGTGCAAGGCAGCAGCGCGGGGCAGTGCAAGCGCGCGGGGCAGGGCGCACGCTCACGGGCAGGGCAGAGCAGTCGCGCGTGCAGGGTAACAACGCCGGGCCGGGCAAGCGCGCGGGGCAGGGAGCACGCGTGCGGGCAGGGCAGTGCAGTGGGCGCAGTGCAGCATGCAGAGCAGCTCGCTAGGCAGCGGGCAGCGCGCAGCAGCAGGCAGCTCGCAGCAGCGCAGGCAGCAGGCAGCGCGAGCAACGCTGGCAGCAGGAGGCGCAGGGCAGCAGGGGCAGTGCGCGGGCAGCTCGCGTGCAGGCGGCGCAGGTGGCGCAGGCAGCGCATGGGCGCGTTCGGCTTCCCCCCCATCCCGCCACTTCCCCCCCCATAGCTAAAGCCGCGGATGGGGCGTAGCAGGGCAGGGCACGGGCGTGGGCTGAAAACGTCCCGCTGAGACCCCATTTCCCCCCGTCCTTCCCCCCAGTACCCCCCTCTACGGCGGCGATGGCTGTCGCACGCGCAGCTGGCAACGACATGCTGCCGCACTGCTGGCGACGGCGTGCAAGGTCGCTGATGGAGGCGGCGAGGTCGACGGGCGGGTGGCCCGGTAGAAGTGCGGGCGAGCGAGCGGGCGGGCGTACGAGCGTGGGCGAATGTGCTGGCGGGCCGCTGGCGATTTCGCTAGCGGTTTCGCTGGCGCATGCGCGAACATGATGGCGGGTTGCTGTTGTTCGCCATAGTGTCCGCCTCGGCCGTCGCACTGACCGCCGCGATGAGGGAGGCGATAAGGAGGCGACTCGAAGGGTTTAGCACAAGCAGCAGAAAACGCGCCATCGAAGATTCCGCGCCAGCAGCATAATAGGTCGCCATGTAAAATGGTGGATGTGGTGGGCCCATGAAAGTAGGTCCTAGGAAGAAGAATCACACTCTGAACCTAGGCTTAGGAGAAACATGTAAGGAGAGGTGCACCACAAGCAGGAAAGCATAATACCTACACTTCAACTACAAGCAGTTACTGAGGTGCGGCTCAGTGCAGCAGTGGCAGGGGAGGAGTAGCGCGCAACTACAGCGTCGTACAAGGTCTGAGCACTCTTGTACTGGCTAAAGTGCGCACGCTCAGAGGTAGGCAGGTGGCGACGCACAGCAAGACGTGCAGCAGCATCGCGCGTGGCCCACTGTG